GGGGGGGGGGGGGGGGTGATTACTAATACGTGTCGACCAATGTTTGAAGAAACACAAAGACAAGGCCATTGATGTAGTTACCCAGTATTCGACCAGAGTGACTAAAAGGTCGAGGAGCATGTGTACAACTGAAAATTACAAAAAAACGACCGAACTCACTCTGTTAGCCTCCAGTGCACACTTGATCATGTGAATAACACGACTATCCTCCAGGCGCATGGCGATGGCCAAGGCATCGTCCCCACGCTGAATCGAACGGTGAAACGGGTGAAGAACAAAACAATAAGTGATTACATGAGTGAAAAGTGAAAGTCTCCTGCTAAACACACACTGTGGAGTCACGTAGCAAGTAGGCTGTTTCTAGTGCACCAAACAGCAACTGAAAGTTAACAGGAACCCAAAAAAATGACAGTATTGGATGCACAATAACCCGATTTTGTGACGATACGGAGAAAGAGGGCCTTCGGTTTCTTAGATACCGATTACGTAGAAGATTGATGAAACCTCTTCGATGGTCCATTACCAGTTTTCTCATTTCAGGGCTCACCGGGTAGGTAGGTAACATCCTGATATTTGCATCAATTCGATCCCGTACAAGGCCTCCCCTAGGGGATGATCACACACATCACCGCTGATGGGAAGCTGGTCTATTTTCGGGCAATCTCTGCTTTTTGAACTACCGAATTTAAATCTGTTCAGTTCAGCAGCAACAAACGGGTACAACCCTTGATCCTTGTATGATGGAATAATAAGGAACAGACTCCTGATGTACGCGAATTAAAGTCGCTAAAAGTTCTCACGCAGCTGAGAACACCAGTCAGTTGGACTCCTTTTTGTTGTTAGCGGTATTCTGAACACATACCAAATAGGCAGCTTGTCACAAGCGCCTACAAAGCTCACCAAAGCCGCGACAAGAAAATACCTCTTGCTAATAAAAAATGTTAGTACTTCAGGTTGCATAGCTAGCCGTTGATTAAGATTGAAGGCGCACCGATGATTCGATCTCAATCAGCAATGAAACATTCGTATTAAGATTGCTTATAAACGGGGAGCGAAACAATGGCCAACATAATCTACATTTTGAAATATATGATACTTTATTGGACAGAGTTCTTACACCTCCTCAAAAGAGACATGCTATTACAGTGAAGACAACTCATTCTGAAGGCCGGGGATGGTTATGGAAATGTACCAAAAGGAAACAACAGAAGTGGAACGTTCTTGTATTTGTATCAGAAAAGCGTGAGAACATGGGATTCCTAATTCATCCCACATTTTAAACATTTACGTTGAAAGCGTTCGTTGGAAATAGGTTCGAAGTAAAGATTTTCGCGATTTCCTAGCCGGTATTTACGTGGTTCCCTTTATAGCCGCTTGGAAATCTACAGGATACGACACATCCGATGGACATGCTAACAGTCGGCTCACTATTAATGCATGTCGAATAGACTGTAAACTTTGTGTAGGGTAACTCTACAAGTATATTTCCTTTGGGAACACCACCATGAATAAATCAACCGTTAGAAGAATCGAACTGATCGCTGAACACCAAAAAGCAAATCATCAATCAGAGAAAGCGGTTGGAAGAGAACTGTCCCGCATAACTGCGTTCGGCAAACCGAAACGGGTCACCACTACTCCAGAGTTTGATCAATGCCACCTAAAGGTTTCATCTGAATGCATTGCTTTGTCTGTCCAACCATTAGTGCACACATCAGTTTCGCCTGAGCTATATGACCTGAAAATTGTAGTTGGCATACAAAGTTTCGTGGTGCAACAGCTCACCCAACGGCCCATCTTAAGCACTTACTCCACTGATGCATTAGTCTCACCATCATTCAAGTATGAAACCATGAAATAAGCGAAGAGATTCCCCAACCACAAACGCCCATGCTAAACCAAAACAAGTGACTAGACTGACAGGCTTGAAGAAGCAATATCAACCACACGGGGCGTCAAAACAGCCCCGTTCACCCCATTACACAAATTCTCGGTTTTTAGGGCTACGACCTTGTATCTTGAGACATGTAGCTTAAAGCAAGTTTCGGAAGCCTGAGATTCAACCGCACGGTACTACTGAATAATCTGGCAAAAATAAATTGATTACCAAGCAATAATTAGGAAGTCTCAGTGTTTTCAATTAACGGTATAAATGAATCCATGGTTTGTTACTAAGATTCCACCGAGCGGCAGTTCTTAGAAATTTGGACTGAACGCAGCGTCTGCAGTTGGAATTTACCTAACTGGTTGGAAGCACGAGAAGCAACTGAAGTAAAGATCAAAGAGAGGATACAACCATACGTGTGATACCGCTTGATCAACTGCGCTGAATTTTCGACAGAAGTGCTAGCTCACATGCTGATGGAATGCTGTGAACTTGGCGAGAATGGGTGTCGATTGAGCACAGTGGAGAATGAGGCAAACTATGCACAAGACCCACCTCAAAGACTGGGAAGTGACATGTTATACGTCTACCTAGCCTACAGATTGGCATATACGTATCTCTATGGAGTGCACAAAGAGAACAGATTAGCTAAAGCATTCCTAACAGTTCTCGCGAAATGCGATAGGCGAAATAGCAGATACAGAAATATTTTACAGTGTGAACCGCAACATTCAATCAATTCGCACGACAGCTAACTGTAACAGAACGAGGCTGATCAGGTGACGGAATGGACTTGGTGAGATTGGTGGAACGGGCCCGATGGAGAAAAATGAGAAATACTGATTCACTCATTTTACAGGTCCACTCCACCTTCGTCTTGATTAGTCACTTAGTTTGCTCAAGGTGACAGAATGCAAACACAAAAGTATAGACACGAGGACGATGATGATATCCTAACCAACTCAATCAGTTCTATAGTTGTTTGGGAAGTAGAAGGCAGTCGGATGGAACAGTCGGATTTATTGACTTTGGCAGACAATACAGATGTGGAGGAGATGCTGTGTGGAAACTCTGTTACGTGATTTCTTTGAAAATCTGCGAAGCATTTGTTTCGGATTGATGCGAACAAACTTAGTAGAGTGTGTTGCCTAAACAATTTGAGTCGACAGTAACTTTGATAATCACGTTCGTCTTTAGCCTTTACGTGGTTTAGGAGTTTAAGATTAGTCAGCACTCCACTGATTGACACTCGGTGCTTTTCGTAAACATACTTCTAGACTAATCTGCCTGTTTCCAGCAATTATCCGACAGTAGTGGAGTTCAAAATGGTACTTGGCAGTACAATAAAATAAGCACTCACATTGTCGCACAGCCGAAGATCCATATCTGGACAACTCAAGAGAGAGCTAATTACAGAGTGGTTTGCTTGCTGTATGGCATACATAAGAGCTGTGTTGCCCGCCATGTCTTGCATGTTTATTAGGGCCCCATGCTTGAGCAGTAGGTGGAGCACCTCCAACGATCCGTTCTGTGCAGCTAACATCAGAGGAGTGAGTTGTGGGTCGGCGTTCGACCGAAGATTCACGTCTCCCATATAGAACAGGCGGTCAAGAGGGCTCATTGCAAATGCACTTGATTGCTGAAAAAAGGAGCATAATAGGCATGTGTCAGGGAGTCACTGCATGAAAGCTAGGTATGTAAGTAGTCCCCTGACAAGGGGTTGACAAACGTAATCAGACATTTTATTTAGAAATAAGCCAGTACCTGACCAAAAGCTAACTGGCAATCCTCTCCCATGCATGCGTGAACTGACCGAGAGTTGGAATGTGTAAAGACCACGTGACAAAAAGGAAAATGTGCGGGCAAACGGTATCCCATGGTGTTTAAATTGACAGTGAAAATACACAGCTATTGCCAAAATTATACCTACTATTTCACGCGGACAACGCTCGCTGAATTCAAGACAGATGCGAACAAGACATAGCCATTTTGTGGGTCTATTCCACATCTACCAGAAATCTACTTCATACGGTCTCCCAAATGACTTTTAAAACTTGTGAAGATACCCAGGACAAGCAGATGGTAGCAAGATGCATCTAAACTTACCGTTCCGAGCGATGCGACCATGACAGGTGAGTAACCGGCCCGGTTCAGTTTATCTGGCTCTGCATAACCAGAATCTAGGATAAGGTTGACAACATCCCAGGCTCCATGCCCGACAGCAAGGTGAAGACAGGTGTCACCCTTGGGATTGGAAAAATAGCATCAATAGGAACAGATGAAATCAATTGGAATGCATCGACAAAACGGTTTCTTTCTACTTGTGTTTGAGGTCAAGTCTACCGGGTTGCAGGCACGTCTTATAAGTGCTTAGAGCCTTAGAGCCAACAAATTCTTCGAAATACCTCCACATGGTTGATACAGGCACACGTTTTAAATTCGCCGAGGGATGTGGTGATACTTAATGAAACAATACGTGAAACGGACGTCAATCAACCTCTTGCTAAGCTTCCCACAAAGAGTAGCATGAAAACCACGGTCTTGGACAATTTAGTAACGACTTCCTTTATCCATGATCTGCTCAGAATAAGGAGTAACCTGTTCAATTACGCTGGAAAATTACGAAGCACCGAGCGGCACTCACTGCCAGTATGCATGGAAGCCATCTACTCGTTAAATGCAAATGTGAAAATAAGTTAGAACCGTAGATGAGCTATAATGAGTGGTGAGTGTCAAGTGTCCAGTGGAACCTAACGTTGCATGGAAACATCATAAACGATAGATTCAGCTGGGTTCCAGGTGAGTCTCCGGCAAAACCAAATTAGTTTGAAAATGAGTGTATTTCGCTAATTTCGTGAAGTTTGGTTTCAAACAGAACATAAGGTTGACGGAAACTCGGGGACTGCGCCTACCAGATGAGACTCAAGAAGGGCGAAACCGGTCGTGGACTGTCGACAAATTTTCAGCAACCTTATGAGTAGTGCATTACGAAAATAAAAACCCTTTGAAGCAGCAACTGACGAGTATAACCAAAACGGTCGCTATTGTACAGTGGGTGCCCGAGGAAGAACACCATTTGACAAGAGGATGGCTTGAAGCAGTTACACGATAAAACTTCAGCAATATGGTCAAAAGGTGGTGGACGATGGCATGAACTTTGAAGACAATTAAAAAGAAATCACAACGTAGGTTGACTGCAACCGAAACATCCTCCACAATATTTTCCACAATATGGGCTACATGCGCGAGTACGCTGTTTCATCTATCGACGGGTGAATTTGGTATGGATGATTAAGGCTGTGGACAGAGGGTTGGTAGTAGTCAGCTTTCATTTTAGTGGCAAATCTCTTGCGTTCGTCAGCGTTGGGATCTGCCATAAAATATCCTGGAGCTAACTCGATGGAACGCGGGATAAGATAACCCTATTCTACGTACGGGGTAACAATACAGCTAGTGAGGCCAAGAGTGACAAGCTGGGCAGGGTTATAGGGAGCGAAAGATGTTCGAATCCGATTAAATATAAGGAAGTTTTGCTCATTTCGTTAAATACAAACGCATATATAAGAAAATCGAATGTAATGGTAGAGTTCGGGACAACCCAAAGCAGAATGAAGCAGGCTAACTACCATCCTGAAGAGATCAGAATGAACTGCAGCATCTTTTAGGTTTAGAACGAGTTGTGAGCTAAAATGGGTAGCCCAAGAGTTTAAACTTTAGGAAAGCAAGCAGGGAAGAATATCATGTATGACAGATTCAGTTGAGTCTTTCGTGAAAACCAAAATGATATGAAATGATTGTGTGTCGAAAGGGAGGGAACATACTTGTTCGTTTGTAGACTGAACCACGGACCTCAAAAGATCTGGATGGTATTCGTAGAGAATGGCGAAGAAATCTTCCAGCTGCTCACGCTTCTCTTGTGCCGAAGACGACAACTCAAAGCAGATCTTGGTCAGCTTCGCCAATTCACTTGACTGTGAACAATAGAAGAGTGATATAAGTTGTGAACAAATCTGCCCGGGTCAATTCATCGACTGAAAAAGTACGCGGGATTCATATTCTTTGAGTACGTCTGGGTTTCGGAAGTCTAGCGCCACTTCAATTGAAACCAAGACGCCAAAAAGGCAATGATAGAGGAAAAATGTAGAAAATCCATAATTCAGATAGGCTGTCAGCTTCTGAGAGAAGGATAGCAGAGGTTACACACAGAAGATTTTTCGGATGTCCTCACATACAGAACTAGGTAACCTAGTGAAGTTGAAGTACTTCGAAAATTGAGAAGTTTGCTACAGCCACGTTGACGAAAATACAGGGACTGTGAAAAACCACTGAAGTATATACTGAAGCTACACTATCAAGAGTAAAATGGCGCCAAAATGGACTGTTACTGTATTCCTCACCTTGCTGATTAGCGAAAGGTGTGAGAATGTACGCCAACTTGATACCTGGCACAAACTTTCTTGTTTACTAAAGATGGGCCTGTAAGCAGGATAGTGCAAATTAAACCAGCTATCGTAACTGGGAGCCACGTGATTCACTCATTTGGGGAAGAAAAAACGTGACAAGCATTCAATTCAATCAACCAGTTAATCAGATATAAACCGGGTACCATAAGCACATTGGTTCCAGCCGCTACAGTTTCGGTCACCGGAAAGTAGAAGAGTGTGAGACATATATCCAAGTCCTGGAGTCGACGACATGTTTCGCTAGTTCATGAGCTTGGTATTTACGCATTTCAGGAGATAGCTTTGATGCATGATCGGCAGTGACTGCGCGATTGGGTCATTTCTGTCAGTGTCATTACCCATTACTGACACTCGGGTCCAAATCCTCTGCGGTACGTTGGTATGCGCTTCACACCTGTAAAGTGTGAAGTGCTCCAACACGACTGGGTTGGACTGAACCCAAGCCCAAGCTTGCAGACGAGCCGATCGACGTGATAGAAAAAATTTTTTACCTGGACAGTTGTATAAGTTCAGGTAGACTCGCTGGAGATGCCATTACTTCTCGAATCGAGAAGGCAGGGCAGCTTTTGTCAACCTCTGACACCTATGGCGCCGAAGTGACATCAGTTTGACCGTCAATGGCACCGAGAGGTGGACAACGGTGGCAACGGAGTATGAAAGAATTAACCAGTGAACTTAGTTAGGTAGATAACTGCCACCTCCCTGGATGGGGACCCTGGGATTGATCTCATCAATACTTAATAACACCAGCAGAAATGGCCCAATCGCACAGTCATTGGCGTTCGGGTATCAAAGTTATCGCCTTCAATAAGTGGCTACTTCGTTCCCCAAACTACACAAACATGCTATCGCCACCAGGGCTTGGCAGCACTGTCCTACTTTCCGGTGATTGGAACTATAGCAGCTGGAACCAATGTGCCTATGACACATGCTTTATAGCTGATAAATCGAATTGAATTTGATTTTTTCAGACTGTTCACCAGGATCTCGCCACTTCCTTGACGAGTGCGGGGTCGGGGTTGTCCGCGCTAGGTACCCCGACGCGCTCCAGGATTGATATTACGCTGGATTTCGGTTGTTGACGGCGAGCTGGAGCTGGCATTCCACTCAAACCCGCTGGGTTTCTCCAGTTGTTGTGTTGAGGGAGACTGGCTGAACTGGCCTTGGAAGTGGCAGCGCCCATCGAGCAAGAAGGCGATTGAGGGAGTGAATTACCGTTTCATATTTACCCCATCTTTTAACCGATTGCCCGAACCAGCTGAAAAGGGGTGCGGCTGTTGCGTGAAACGTAAGCCTTCGCTATCACCTAAGCCCTCAAAATCCACCAGAGTTCTTTGTGCCGACCTAGAGCTGCCACCTTACCGTGATTGAGCCTCAGTGCTGCAACGATCGCGTGGGCTACACTGGCTGGAACTTCGTTCCACAAGTTGGGACCATGCCAGGAAACCTAAAAGGAGCAGTCAGACCAAGAGCAATGAGACCCCGTACTATGAGTAATCGTGCTACGAAGTGGTCTTAGGGTAAAGTCGTACTGTTCTCTGCGATGGGAGTGTGGCCGCAGTGAAATGTTTCTCCAAGACGACCACCATGTCCATATTAATGGAAGCAGTGATGCTGATCTCCACGGGGAAGGACGGATTAGGAAAGGTCGGCCCTAAATCCGCACACTCCGATCGCCCAACCATTGACTGTGGCTGCTGGCGCATTATTCAATACGGTCGAAATGCTTTCAAAAACGTAGTCTAGTGCTGAGTAAAAGGCCCCTGCTGCACGCAGCCGCGTCAGAGGTGACACAACAACGTCTGATGTTCTGATGCTGAGAGGGATACTCTCTATCGAGAGTCATTCAGGCTCATTCGGCAAGCAAGAAGCGCTGACATTGTGATCTTTGTGGAAGATACGAACGCTCAATTTGGTCGTCTGAGCTCCGTAGAATCACACTTGGGCGGTCATTTCGGAGGCAACGCTCGGCGCACAGAGAGAGCATTCTACTCATGAACTGTACTTGGTCAGTACGAGCATTCGGCATAAACGTTCACGTCGTTTAACTTGGCGGTCAACCGCAAATCAGCCGTGAAACCAGTTGGACCACATGAGCATCAACCACCGGTGGGAAGGTACGATTCCTTTTGGTGCACACAACTTCCGATCGCGCCATGGTACATGCACGCCTGATATTTTGTTTCCCCTCAGGTCCCAGCAAGTTCCCACCATCTTCCCACAACTACCATAGCTCAGTTTCAAGCTGTATTATACCCGTACAATCTACTTCGAATATGGTACCGAATGAAACATGAGGCGACTGGCTAAACCACATTCAGTCAATTAAGAGCACCATAAGGGGAAGATTCAGCTGGGTTCCAAGTGAGTCTCCTATCGAAACGAAATTGATATGTAGGCGAGTGTATAAGTCGAAATCTGTGGTTTGGGTTCAAACAGAATATAAAGTTGACAGAAACTGGAGGACTGAGCCTACCTGATGGGTCCCAAGAAGGGGAAACCGGCCGTGGGCTGTCGAGGAGTTCTCACGAACCTTATGAATAGTGGACTGCGTCCATCGATCGTAGTCATACTGTCTATGACCAAGGACACTAAGAGTACTGAGTTTTCACACATCAGACATCTATCCAAACTAGGACATCTAACCCAAGGAACAGGAGAGTTAAGAACCAGCGTAGTGTTTTGACCACAACACTGAACATTGACAGCAAAAACAAAAACGTCATTCTGCAAGATCGGTTGCCAGGAACTTTGGGGTTTGGATTATGCAACCCAGTTTAGGTAAATAATGCATACGAAGGGGACCACAAAAAATGCACAGCTTGATCAGCAAACCGAACGAAACCAACGAGCACAAAACGCACCCGCCCACACACACACACCTACCTGAAGAGATTTGGTATGCTTCGAAGAACATTGTGCAGCCAACGATTGACATGCTTTAGTGGCTTCGTCGGAGATGTTAAAACTATGTAAATAAGGGTAGAGAATGAACCGGTTGGTATGTGTGTGCCAAATGAGCAAAAAATAAGTGAACGTATAAGACCGGTGAATTGTGTTACATCTGCCTTTACCTAATGTGAGGATATCTGTCTAACAACACGATCGATTGGTATGGATACAAAACCACAGACTTGTTTTGGCGAAAACCTAGTAAGACAGTAGTCCCGTCAACTTCGCGATATGCAGAAAAGATGAGAAGCGGTTGATTTCAACTAATCATCTCTCAAACTTCGAAGCCTCTACTGATAGCAACATCGCGTGCCTTCTGAATCGGTGCCGCCATTTAATCCCCACTCACAGAGCCTATCCTTTAACGCATGTTCTGGTCTTTAGTCATTTCATCAGATTTTGAACCGGGACTTCAACACTATTGAAATAAATTTCGTTGTAAAATCTTTCTGAGAATTCGTCCGTTCGCTCAAAGTAAAAGTAATGAACCTGTCCCGTGTTCCGAATCATCAAAGTGCTGTAGATGACTGGCTGAGTGCAAACATCAATGCCAGATCGAAGAAAAATGAACCACGCTTAAAGATGTGGGGGGGATATTATCGTAAACGCAATCAGCTCACGGAAACGATAAGGAACAAAGGAATCCTAAGGTGTTTTGGTGTCTGAACGTGTGGGCCTAGATTCATCGAACGATGTGCGCATTAAGTTTGTCTGCGGGAGAACGCCTGGAATACATGCTAACTGTTCGGATTCGGATTCCTCAAACGTAAAGTTTCGATATCCAAATCTCTTTAGCCCCACTCTCTTTTCAAATGGCAAAACCCGCTTGAAATCTCGTGAGCATTCTATACACTTATTCCGTCGACGGAAAATCTCATTTGTTCGAGTGAAGACGCGTTGGAAATGTCTCTTTCGGTTTCAATACGCCTGAGTGCATTGGAGGACCAGTCACTCTAAGCCCATTCCCAAAGTGACTACAAACTATGGTCCCACTGTTTCTTCAGAAGTTTCAACGAAAAGTATGTGAAGGATAGTACCCAGTGATCTTCTCCATTGCTGGTCCCTTCCAAGTTGCACGTAAGACAAATCCTGGTAGGTTCGATGCTGTTTAGTTCACTATTTCGCATCCAGGCAGAGGTAAGTCTAAGGTCGAACAATTTTCTTCACTTCTTTTCGGTGCCCTCACGCTCATGTCGCTCTAAACGGACGAATTTGCGCTAAAAGCTCTTCTTCCTAAGGTGGTTGCATGGTTGATTATTTCTTCTCTTAACTCTAGTACATTAAGACGAGATGGCAATAGACTTCGCTTTCACCTAGTAATGCTGTGGTCCCTCAAAGATCAGTTTTAACGTCACTTTTTCTTATGCCGGGTACGAATGATCTTCGAACCGTCCAGTTATTCAAAATTTTCCAACATACCGATTGTGTACATTTTTGCAACAAAGTTACCTTTCCATCAAACACAGTTCGCGGGCCCCTAAAAAATCCGAAATCACCAACGCGCACGCACGATCATATAAGGGCGCCATCGAGGTTGTTCTTGCCCCGGGTGTGAGACACATGAAATCTGTCTACTCAGTCCAGGGCACTATGAGCTGCCTTTGAGGGTGTTCAGATTTGTCATATAGGACAGATTCGGTCGAAACTTTGCCTATTCGGCTTCTGGCCTCTGATTGGTAGTCAAACAGTGTCATTTCATTTAAGTACTCCTTAACAAAACATCAGTGGGATTCCAATCTTTTGAAATTCTATGACGTGAGCTGTTATCTTGGTATTATCTTCCGAGTGAAATAAGGGTTGACGAGCGATCAAAAGCAAACCCGTCTCGTTTTCTCTGGTGTTCTGAGTCGGGGAAGAGAACTGCCCTGTGTTTCCAGTGTAAGTTTAAGTCGGAACGCGCAAAACTCTACTTCGGCGAATGACCTTCCGGACTCGAATTTAACTTATTCCAATATTGCGAGTGGCCGCCTGAGAAAACAGCAGTACAGTACTGCATGCAGAATTAGTCTGACTGCGAAAGACAAGCATGCTGACGGCTTGTCTTCATATAACCTATCTTGGCATGTTTCACCTCAACTTCAATAATTACAACTTCTACGGAGTCATTCATTGCCAAAGTTAGTCTGTTTAGGTTAAAGTAACAGACAGGATGCTCCAGAAGTGAGAATTCCTGCCATAGAATCGGACGCAAACGCAGTCGGTCGACCGGGATCTTCTTTTGTTTTTATTTTTAGACAATGCTCTGGATCTGACAATGCTACAGAAACTTGGGAGTTGGCTGAAGACTGGGCGACACTTGTTGAAAACCACACCATCACTATATTTACATTACTAGATTTACATTTATGGCCGCCTATGTGATGGTGCGTGCGCCATTGAAAGGCACCCACGTGCAGGGAACACTGCACAGTTCGATTTTGTAGAAGCGTGCAAAGTGTAGCGTGGGCAGGGGGGTTGCACGCATATGGTAAGTAAGCCCAGTCGTATCTAACATGCTATAAGCCTACAACTTGCCTCATGAAACTGCTCTCCGAGTCACTCCTTCGATAAAACCTTGCCTCACGTCTCCTCAACTATGCGTATTGAGTCGATTGCTTAAACTGCTACAGATACCCAGGAATTGATTTTTACATCACTCTGCTTTACACTGCTCATGCCGAAGGAAACCTACCAAAGCTAAGAGAGATGTTCTTCTGCAAGCTATGCTAATCCCTCACTAATCCTGAGATAACAAAGACGCAATTTGAAACAGCATTTTATCCTTTTGGGTTTTGCGCTTGGCGACTTGCTCATCAGTACTCGCTTTTGTGATGAGGATAAGCTGAAATCGTCCCACTTAGACAGTACTCAGTGAAATGTCTGCTGATCTAATCTAGTTTATTATCGGATAACTAGATGGACAGCTTTTAGTTTGGTGCAATATAATGAAATTACTTCCATCGCATTTCGATGATATCAACTATTTTGACTGATGACTTGCGATGTAAACTCACGTACAGGTTACTCATGCACTCCAAGTGACTCGTAAACCTACTCAACTGGTGGGATTGCGCACACTCATCATAAGATGACAACAAAGAAGTCACGGGGCAGCGGTGAACATTCCAACAAACCAAAAAACTAGCTTGGAATGCGGGAACAAGTAGGTTGATGGGACTTCGGGAGAACGCACAAGGTATGTTAGACAGATGCCATTGCTACATCCATCTCTCTGTTGAGAACCGATTTGTTTGAAAAGGCAGCCCAAGTACGGGTAACCAGAGGAGAGTATGTGTAACCGAAGAAGCAACAGTTATTGGCGTATTGCAGCCAAACAGAAAATGATCAGCGAGTTTCTAGTCATGGAGATAAAAGAGGTTAATCAATTGATTTTTATCGACTTTTAGAAACACAATATGGATGTGCGCCTCCTGATAGGCTGGAACATAGGGTTTAGTAAGTGACACGCACGTGGTTCTTATTCCCAGAGCAAAGAGCTCGGATCAAGGATGGACCATAATCTAACGATGTTCAGAGTTTCAAAATTCACTCTGTACTTGCAGTGCTTAATTCCGTTTGCGTTTTCCCGTACCAATTTTTTCACGTTCAGCTAACCCCGGTAAGGTGACTCGGACTATATGGAATTCGGAGACCAAAATCAGCGTGTTGTTTGAATGAAAGTGAACATGAACACCGTTTGACACAGTCTAAGATACTGAGTGAAGAAAACCAGAAGAGCACCGCCTTCCACAGGAAAGCCACATCAAATGATTTCCGTTTCTAAGACAACGTTACAGGTCACGTATTAGTGCCTGACATGACCCACCTGCGAGCCACTAGTTTCTAGCAGATGTTCACAAGCCTCGTGAAGAAAATACTTGCTACTTTGAAAGTAAATTAAGACGGATTTTTTAGAGAATGACCTGTCCATTGTGCACTCGTTTGAAATGACGAAGTGATCTTTATTGTGGAGAACCTAGATCAAATAAGGTTAGTTAGATGCGCAGTCCACAGGGACCACCCCCTAAAACAAGACCGCAAGACATCACAAATAACTGGACGTATTGAGAAGGGAACAATAAAGATAGCCTACGTGTGATTCCTCGATGGTGCACGCGTGGCGAATGAGGCGGACTGTGCTCGGGAGGGGCTGTAAAAAGAGGAAAAATATATGCAGCCGTTTAGCGGAAAAATTTAGAGGAAAAATACGTGGATCAAGCGTTAACGACGGTAAGAGATACGGAATACTCAGAAACAATCCTCTTTTTTGATAAAGTACATGAGAGAAGTGATTTTGAAGGCAATAGAAACGCCACACCTGCATGTGTAATGCGGCCTAACAGAGAGATGTTTCAATCGTTCAGAGGGGACGACACTCTTGGATCGAAAATAACCGTTGGAAGAAAATTTACCGTTGAGATTATCCGCCCAATACTGAAATCACCCGGGATAGCACTTGTCGCTTCTTGATCTGTTTCATGTTCAAGGCAAATGTGTAGTGTGTAGGGTCTTTAAATCCGTTTGGCGCTCAGTAGCGAAATTCAAAAAATGTTTAAAGGCAATGCTTAATTCCGTGAACATGGAGCAATAGTCCTAAACGTTCCAACTACACTGGTGTCATGGTTATGGGTATTGAGTGTACGCGACTCAAAAACGCCCTCAGCATCAAAAACGAATACCTGCAAAAGAGGTCCGCCGTTCGGAAGGCGTAAAAAGGTGCAAAGAATTCCTGTTTATCGTCGATTCACCACTGTATCCTGAATAGATCTGCCAACACCATAACGAAAAGCCAACTGATGAGGGATGTAAACCTGACGAACGAACTGACCGGATAAAAGATCTGCATACTAACACACGTAGGCCTGCCATGAAATAGCGCTTGCGTGCGCGAATAGGCCGAGTTCGCTTGTTCGGATTATCGTGCAGATAGTGATTTAGCCATACAGTCGATCGACGCTTGCTTCGGGAGGTATCCTTTCCTAATTAGCCGAATGTTTCTTGCGCTATCCACCGACCACAACTAAGTCAGGTCGATAAAAACGCCCACACAGAAGGGACATTGAAAATTGGCTAATAAAATATGCTTCGTGTCCCACGGAGAAAAAGATCATAAAACATTTCATCAGCCAACACTGTGTTCGAAATGAGCTCCGATTGATTCCACTTCTGGGGTGAGATGGCCCAAGTGGTTAGAGCGCGAATTCACTGACCGGTAAGTTCGTGGTTCGAACCTGACCTCTGCCTCTTGACTTCCCCTGTCTAGCCTTGGACAACCTAGGAGTCTTCGTGCAACCCTCGGGTGGCATGGCAGTTAGACACTGAAAGGGTGCTACAGCTGAACGGTTTTTTGAACTTCTGAACCACATCGTTCCCAGGTCGAAAAACCTGTAGATGGGAATGGACTGTCGTAATGGACCAACAGATGTGCGCCAAACAGGTCGACAATCTCTAGTATATACGACAATGCGAAACAACTGTGAACCCACATAATCGGTATAAATGTGACATTGGTTCATTGAGAAATTTCAAAGATACTTTTCGATCTTTTCGCCTCAAAACGTCTCATGAATCATCTTGGTATACGTTAGGTGAATGCGCGAGTAGTTTGTTCGGAGATTCTACATTCCTGAATTACATCGGCTACAAACTCAGTCCAGCGGTGAGACACCCCAGATGACACTGTGAATGACCATTCTGTTGACTATACTACGGCCGGTTCCAATCAATGGATATGCATCATACAGAGGAGGTAAAAGGTTGCTCAAGAGCCAAACACATATAATAGCGAGTATCAACATACGACTGACGTTGTGCGACAACCTTACTACAGTGAAACCTCTTCGCATGGGCGATCTTGCATTTGGATTCCCCGCGAGCTCGTTAGAATTTTTACAAGAACCGGATTCTATGGACTGGAGAATTCAGTGTACTCAAACGGTTCATAAACCATCCTCAATTGGGTAGAGTGTTGCAGTACAAGTGGCAAGCTTGTGAGTAAATGGACTACGGTTCCTAAGGCGCTCGTACAATATTCTGATTTGACAAGAAACTATGAAGATGGACAACTGGGTTAAAGCACTTGAAACCGATCCCTCTTGACTTAAAACGGTTGAACTGCGGACCGTTTCAATGGATACTCATCAGCTGGACTGAAAAAGAGATGACCACATTCGCGTGTGTGATCACAAGTCAGAACTAACATGCGAAGTTGTCGTTGGGGTTTGGTCATCTTTGCGAGTGAAGACCGGAAGTTCGGTGGTTCGAACCCGAACTTAGCACCCAGGCTGTTCCCGTTTGGGTTTGGATAACCTGGTGTTGCAACCGAACGATTATTTATTAATTTACTATCAGAACTATCATTCGTCCAACGAGACAAGGTAAGCAATCTAAAAAGTCTGCACCCTGTACATTACAGGGAAGGTGGAGAAGCCCTGGTGAACGGAAAATCCGATACGAAGACAAACTACTGTAATTCCGATCTTCAAAAATGCACAAGAAACTCATGCGAAAACCATCGTAACATCAGCCGTAGGGAACAAGACGCATTCTAATACAATCTTGCACAGGTTCGTCGATTACTTGAAAAGAATAATTCACCACTCTGGATTCCGTTTTGGTCGCTAATGCGCTGACGAAATCTTTAGATTAAGGTGGCTTCTCGAACAGCGCCACTGTTTGATACGTCCAACGATTGTCCTTTTTTCAGATCGGGAAGTTGTTTTCGATTCTGTCGACGACCAGATATCATGGCAGTGCCTGTTATGCAAAGATGTATGACTTGAATGTTGATTCGGCATAAGGAGACCGCCAACTACTGTGGGCGCGTACGGGTATACAGGGTGTTTTTCACAAGCTTGCTATATCCATTGGTAGACCAAGCTGTCTAGTTTCACCATCGTTCTTCAAATTTGTCATTTACCTGCTGTTCGAAACTTCTCTGTCTTGGAAACCGCGGAAATTATCGAGGGCTGCGCGAATAATCAGGCGATATATTTTTCCCTGGTTCCGCTCCTCTAAAGCCATGGTATGTTTTATTATCCTTTCACAACTGTGGTGCTGGAGTAAGGTCAGTTTGCCTGTCAACTACAGAGTATATACTACAATAGTGCGATCGATATTGTCTTACGGATCGGAAATTCGGCTAAAAGGTATCCACGGGACCCCCGGTGTTTGAAAGTCGATGTTTCCGAAATACTGGCCGTTTTTGGTGAGGCATTGGATTAGCAACGCTGAGATACGTCAAACTGTTTTACGCAGAAAGAACCCATCAATGATGGACGAGCTACTAACGCTTTATAGGCCATGCTGCAGTTTGAATTTCACATGAATATCTTTCTCATAGAGCTCTTTTCTCCAGCCCTCTGATGAGCGGAAACTACCAACGGACACACGGTCTGCGACATGACTAAGAAATTCAAAAGCTCTAACAAGCAAGCTCAGCCGAATTGACAACTACTGCTTTCTTCAACAGAGGGGACGGAGGCCAGACTTATCAATAGTTAGTCACTGCAAGACGACCCAGCCATCTAGTCAGTGGCATTTGTATGCTGAAGCCACCACCCTTATTGAGTAGCCATATTCGCCGTGATTTAAAGAACGGAGATAATTTGACATTAGTTACCGATTAGGCCACTGCCTCCAATATCCGGCTATACCGTCTTATTTTTCTCTGACCAAAACTCTAGTGACTGGGACCCCAGGTACATGGTTTATAGCGGACAAACCGAACTGAATTAAACCGCATTCCGGCTTTTTACTGAATGTCCTACATCGATCAACCATTCATATGGATAGTAAGGAAATCGACTGAGGATATGAATCTTCGCTTTGGGGACCAAAGGCACGGAAATAACAAACCTACCCCGGATGAATAGTTGTCAACACCGATTCACTAGTCCCAAAAGAAGAAGCCGTCGTAGTATGAGAGGCAGAATGTACACCAGAAGATTCGGATGTAACATGTTCAGTGAAATATGTATGTTCGCCAGTAGAACACTCTTCACGGTGTACAGACACCTTTTCTTTCGACGCCGACGCACCCGGTGCTCGGGTTGTCTCCATCCAGAAATGTTTCAACTCTGGGCTTTGGGCGATGGAAGTATGAGAAACAGAATCAGAAGCCTGGCAGGTTGGTGAAGCATGAAAAATCGGTATCTCGTAGCTTTTCAAAGGCGGCGATCGCAAGGCACTGACGTCCGGAACACAGGTGGATGGGGATGTTTGGGGCGATATCTGAATCGGAGTTAACGGCCGAAGTAAAGGTGGAGATGGGTGATCTGCGATATGGTGCACTACTTCGACACACGGCTGATAATGACGTACTACGTGAGAGGAAACCACCGGCTTAGATCGTGCCAAGATGCTGTCTAGCACAACACTATCACCGCGTGTAAGTCCATCCAAATTAACATCCCCAGGGACTAGATGGCAAGCAGATTGTTCATCAACTATTCGCCGTTCCGTGGAAACTGTGCAGCTTTCACTTTGAGCGGTCTTTGTGTAGGGGCCATGTGAAGTATACGAAGTCTCCTGGGTTTGTACAAATTCCGAAAACGGCGCTTTGCTGGGTCCAAGGCCTGATTGGAACAACTTTTGCGCTTCCGTGGGTGATAAAGGTCTTGAGGAGCGCAGATGCTGATATGGCGGGTTGGAAAGAAACATAATGGTGTGAAAAATCATTAAACGGGTAGAGAGAATATCCCAGTGAGAGCAGCATGTCATCGTGCACAGTACCCAAGAGGCAATAATATAACACTACAAGATGACACCCAAAGTTTTATAGCATGGCGGCACGGGAGTGGATGATTAACCGATAAAAAAAGAGAAAATGAGGCACATCAAATAAACGGGTGGTTTTTTGTATGCAGAAGGAAGGCTACTAAAACAATGGCGCGTAATAGTTTGGTATGTTGGAGAGGGGGTGTCCTGGTAACTGGATCACGACTGCAGTACGGTAAGCAATGACTTGTTTCTCCAAAGTTGAAGGAAAACAAGTGAAATGGATGCCAGGTTAACCTTTTAAGAGCGTTTCAAGATGATCGACCTACCAAACAGACAGTTAGACAGTCTACATAGATCCTAAAATCATACATGATCATACCTGATCTGATTAAGACCTCGTCAGTCAACAGTAGGGAGGAAAATAGTCCGTACAGGGAACTACGTCGATGGCACCTAGGCTCTTTGTTATCGCGTACATCGTGTTTCGTCACGTTGCCGTTCCTCGCCTTCTTGTGGTGAGAATTAGCACCCTTGGGAATAGACTACAACTAGGCATAACGGGTATACGAAAATCAGTACTACAGAGGCCGATATAAGCTGGGTTCGGGCTACCGAACACGAGGTCCACGGTTCCCAACTAAACCTGAATCGCTGATCATTAACTGTTTTAGTGGGCATAACTTGGCACTATCTTAGCCCTCACACTCCCCTCAGGCTGCGTGGCGGCTGTGCGTCGAAAAGATACCATAATCTGACTATCCGATTAGTTTTAGATGAATAAACTATATAATTCGCATAACCTCGCTTTAAACCCCGAAGGATAC